TACTCGCTATTTTTTGGTGTGAAGCTGCCCTAATATTCAATTATAAGAAAATGAATATGATTTATAATTGTTTATGTTTTTAGAAAAAGGATTTACATGACATGATAGATTTAATATCTAATGAATGTTCGAGTCATCAAACTATTAAATGTGCTTTATACAAAATATCAGTGATGCTTGAACATAATCATCTTCAACAACATTTTATTCAGACTGGAGGAATAGATATTATATTAAATTTACTTAAATCATCTAAAGTATTGATTATTAATTACTATTTATGATTTTTCTTTGCAGTATCTATTAATATCACTAATTATTTTTTAGGTGTTTGTTATTGAGCGTGGCTTGTTAATTGTATTATTAAAATTAATTTTATGTTTCACAAAGAAAAAAAAAAATAATATTAATGATCACAACTCATTAGCAAATAATATTGAAATACAACTTCTATTAATCTCAGGTACATCAATTATAGTACTACAATTGTTCATCTTTAAACTAAAAACTTTTTTATTTATTGCAGTTTTATCTGATTTCCATGAAGTTCCTCTTGTAAAACAATATGTGTTTCAAATTTTTTTTTATTGTATTTTCAATCAATATTTAACTTACTTTGGAGAAATACCAAAATTAGTTGCAAATAAAATAAATACTCCTATTCAATTCAACAAATCTTGTAATACAACTAATATTCCTGATGATGCAATGTTATTTTCAAGTAAGACTAAAAAAAATGTTATCAAACTTATTTGAATCAATAAATGTTATTTATTATTTATTTTAGAAATTAAAGAGAACCACAATTATATGGAAGTTATAATACTAACATGGAATTTGAAGAATTATGGTGGTATTGATGTATTTTTGGAAAATGGCCATACTGCAAACGGTCAAAACCATGAATTCATCAATGTTTTTCATCATTTTAGAAAAGCCTGTATTAACTGGTCAGTTAACAAATGTTTGGTTGACTTAATTGCTGCTAAGTCACATCAAGTAGCATTAGTCATTCTTGGTGATTTAAGGAGGTAACTATTTCATTTATTGTGTATGGCTTATATTTACAATAACTTACCATTTTTATTTTTATTTAAATGTATACCCAACAATTTTTTATGGTAGGGATGGTGAAACCTTTTTTGGGTCTAATGCCAAATTATTACAATTTTAAGGTTTTAACAATTTTTCATGTACCCAAAGTTTATAAACACTTAATAGAACATGATAAATATAATAATATTATAGTAGCATAATCAATTTTACATAGGAATATCATAATTTTTCACTATTTTAATTTTTTGCGTGCCATTAAAATTTGATTAACATGCCTCTTTTAGACCCGTGCCTTGGGTCATCACCCCTGCTATATGACCATTATTATAAATGATATGAACTTTCTGGTAGAAACTCTCGAGTTTTGAATATTGCTAAAATAGTTGTATAAATGATAAAATTACAATAAAATTGAAAAAAATTCACTCAAAACTTTTATCTTTTAATCTGTACTAACATGACAACGTATTTAAAACTTGCTTAGCAATAAATTGGAAAAGTAGAAGAAAAGTTGCATTCTAACAATGCCCTAAAACGTGAAGGTTGCCCAACGTGCCCTATTAATGTAGTACAAAATCCAAAATTGTTTCTTATGTGATATGTGAATCAGAACATTACATACTACACAAAATTTACTTCTTGGAGTTTAGAAACTGAAGGATGTTCATGTTTTATAAAAAATGTTGTTAATCTTAATCACATATTACAAATAAAAATAAAAATATATTATATTCAATCTGCAATAAAAATGTTTACAATAGGTAATTTGGAGGAGATAAAAGTATACAGGACTGGACAACATGATGAATGGGTGGGTTCAATGAATCTATTACATATTTCTAAGCTGTTGTTTATTTTTTCCCCTATTATTTATTTTGTATTTGGATTAAATTATGTAAGTTAATTGTTGTCTAGCTGGACTTCAAGATTTCGAGTGAATAGTGTTGCTAATTTGTTCGGATGTATTTTAACTCTCTGCAGGTTGAACCAGTTTTAGAATTCATTAAGGTGTTTGGAATGCGTCAGAGGCTCTGATTAGGTCGACATTTATTGAGATAAAGGTTGTATCGTCAGTGAAGGTTACAAGCATGGTGTCTTTAGTGTGAAATGTTATTACTGTTATAAGAGATGAGAAATTGAATTTTGACTCGTAGACCTTGCCAGATTAGTATGAGACTCCATCACAACAGTTTGCTTCGCTTATCACAAACCCCTAATAACTATAATTTAAATAAAAAAATTAAAATAATAATTTGTTATTTTATCATGTTAATATTGACATACTGTCAAGTCTTGATATCTCAAATTTCAAGGGAAGTAAAAATTAATTTGACATATATTTTTTGAGTTACATAACTTGAATTTTTTAAAGATACTTAACTAATTTGAGTTAGATATTATCATTATATGTATATTTATAAACTACAGTTACAATTAAAATATTGCATTTTAAAACTCATTTCCTATATAATATGTATTTATTAGGTAATATAATAGTGGTTTAATTTTATCTATGGCAGTCATATTTGATCCTCAAAAAATTTTAACTCTTTCTTTACTGTTTTTAATCCTACTACCCCTCCTGAACAATTCTATTTTTTTAAAACAAATGTTTGATTCTAATAATAAAATTTAAGATATAACTTTGAGTTATTTATGCCAACTAGTTTTACATTTGACTTATCACGACAAATATTGCACTAAGTGTATAGGAATTTCCTAAAGACAAAAAAAAATTGAGTTATCGAGACTAGACTATATGTATCATACTATTATTAGATTGAAAATTGTTGTCATATTTAGTCTTTATATTTTACATATTATGCTAACTAAAATTAGGTACATAAATAAGTTAGTGTATTATGTACTATATTGAGACTAAATATAACAATTTTTAACCTATTAATAGTATGATCTAAGACTTAAATAACTATTAGTTTATATCTAATTATTTCAATGTTATATTTAATTGTTTAAATATTGATTAAAAATTAAAAAACACTTTCTTTTTTTAAAATAAAATGTATTATTTATACTTTTTAATAGTTAAACAACAATTAATTTATTGAAATAAATATCTTATTTAGGTGTTTTTTATCAAAATCTTTTAATCCTTAGCTTGGAGTCAACCAAAACTAATTAAAAACTTGTAATTATTCATCACTTGAATGCGGGTAGGTAGTAGTATGATACAGAGGCGTAATTAGGAATTTGGTTTTTTTGTGGGGGGGGGAGATTTTATGATTTTAGCAAAATCTGTAAGCCTCATACAGTAACCTACCCAACCAAATATAAAATGTCAGCAGTAGAACAAAAGTTTTGAGGGGATCTATCCCCTCACTACCCCTTAATTACGCCCCTGGTATGGTACATGGTACACTGAACACTGAAGACTGAACACTTCAAAAAACATTAAAATTTTAAATGATTAATTAATGATAAAATGAAAATTATTATGGGTTTGTGATGATCGTACAGCTGTGATACTGATAAGAATAAAATTGCTGTCTTGACGCTTAGCTTCTATCATAGATTATATAAAACTATACTTGTATTCTGTACTTCAGCTGACCACAACTACACATAACGACATAACACATAGATAATATATACATGGATTGGACCTTCGACCATATAAGCTAATAGACGCGGCATACGGTAAATATCTTGACGCCAACATCATGTAGCGTGTGACGTCACGTTTGGGCAATAACGCCGGCCGGCGGCCGGACT